AGGTGGCAGTCAGAAGCAAAGAGAGAACACCTGTAGACATTATCATGGCTTCTGTTGGATAAATACTTATTAGGCAAGGTAACATTGGGCTGGTAATCCAGCTAAAAATAGTATAGAACTTTACATTCTCCCTGCAACAAGTTTCTGGCTGGATTCTTCATAGCCAGATTCCATCAAAGCACAAGAGATACAAACTCACACCTAGAAATGCCAATAGCAAAGCTGGGTCCTGGCTCATCTCCTTACTAGTACAAGGGAACAAATAAATAAACACCAATAAACCTAAACAACAAGGAAAAAGCATAGGCATTTATGGTGAATTGAGAGGATAAGCAGAATGTATAGAGATGTTTGCTAAAATGAACTCATCTGGTATCAATAGTCAGACTTTCATTGTGATAACTAGAATCAACACAAATGACAGACATGGCACAATATGAACAACTCCAAATTAAGAAAAAGATGTAGCCCAGTTATTATGAAACAGCAAAGAAAACTATAGCACTGAAAGATGGTGAGTCTGCAAGTGAGTCACATTGGAAAAATTATGCAGTGTGCTGCCTCCCCTCTATTAATTCTTCTGATGAATGATCATTTTACTTAAAAAAGAAGACTATTTTAAATGCATAAAATCTTTGTAAAACGCAAACTATAAAGTGAAATTATGTGCAGAGTGTTGCAGTGATAGGAAGTTGCCTATTTGCCAAATTGATTGACAAAATGCATAAATTTATTTTTGGTGCTATTGAGATTGAAACTCAAAACTTGCTGTCTGCAACACAATTACTCTGTCACATGAGTCATTCCTCATCTGCTTTTGTTTTACAGGCAGGGTAGCATGATTTTACTTTAGTTGGTCTGGCAATGCACTTTCAAGTTCAGACTTTGTGTTCATCATAATATGGAAGAATGAGTTTGGATATTTTTTTTTTACAAATATTCACTGAATCTTAAAATCAAGGATTAATTTGGTTTGGGAAAGGGTACAAGATGTCCCCTTCTTCCATGACTACTAGCCAGACATCACCTTGAATCCTATAGATTATAAACCTTTGAAGTTGAAATCCAGATAGAAGTGAGACCGCTGTAACTATAATTTGTTTACACATTATACATCCCATTGATGTTTACAAACACCTTTGGGATTTCAAGGCTTCCTCTGGAAAGCCCTTGACAATTTATTTGGCCAATAAGAAGTTATTCAGAGAAACATCAGGTCCAGAAACAAGTTCCTACAAACAAGAAGTAAGGCAAGTAAGGCTGAATAGCAGTTGAAAATATATTTAATGGTCACATAGGTCACACAGATCTCAACCCCTCTCAGATCTGACCCTTTTCTCTTCCCCAGGACCAGAATAAAAGCACAGTACCATTAAGGCAGTGTGGCCTTGGATTTGGTCCTGTCTTCAACCTGATTCCAAATTACAATAAGTGAAAGTCATTAGAATTAAATTAATAGCCCTCATTTACCACATTGCCAAATTTTGCAATCTCAATGAAATAATTACAAATTTGCCTTCATTGTCATCCAGAAGTCCAATCTTCTATCCCAACCACTTCAGGAATTTCACCCAGATATCTGTGCCTTCCACCCTCACACCTAGAACAATTGAGAAAGAAAATGATATTTAAAATGAGACACAATGCTACTAAATCTTTAAAACAGCTATCTTTTCTTCACCCTTGAAGTTGCACAGTCCTGAGCAGCTGGTTGTAAAAAGTATGGATGATCCTCTCCATTCTCCAGGTAGTAGCAGAAATTTGGACAAATGTAACAAGAAAGAGATACATGAGGACTAGGGAGTTTGAAAGTAAGTGTTTTGCCCTGAATTTGATATGGAATGATCAGAGGGCAATGGATATATGAATGTACTATAGTTCGTGGATAATATAAAACTGTAAGTTCAAGTAAGAGTTGTACCTGGTGACATGGCAAATCACAAAAACTTAATAAATTTTGGAAATATCTGGTAGCAACATGGTTGTGCTTCAGCCCTCTAGCCATCTAACCACAGGACATGCTGACTAAAACCCTTGATATAGTTGTTTTCTCTTGCTTTGAATTTTTTCCTATGTAGTAAAATTTTCCTTTATGCAGTAAAGTCAGTAGAGGTGGACTCAGCATTTATACCTGCTCTGGGGAAGAATCACTTTGTGTATATGTGTGTATTAGAAAAGCCTAAAGTATGAATTGCTTGAAAATATAACAGCTTATATATCTCTTTCTATGTCAATGAGATATTAAATGCATAGAGCTATTACACCAGAAAAATATCCACAAATTCTGTTCTTTCCATATCTTCACTTCTCTGCATTTTCTAAATATGAAGCACTCAATTATTGCTTTACTGTTCTCCCTTTCATGTGTCATAACATAAAGATTGAAAAACTCAAAAGAAATGGTCATCATCCCTGAATGCACCAATAGATCTTCCAAAGACCGTAGGCTCATCACAGCTTCTGCTGTATGCATGAAACACGTTCTCTGGGCTAAACTAACATAAGTGGGCACCGTGGAAATATGAGGATTTCCGGAGTTGAGCTAGTCCTATAGCTATTCCCGGCTTTACCCAGATTTGCTGATTTGCATATGCTCAGAGCACAGCCTACTGCCCCAATGACTTCATAATAGGCTTCTCACACCCTGTGCAGCAGTCTGTCCTAGTCAGCACACAGCATGGACATGAGGACCCCTGCCCAGCTCCTGGGGCTCCTGCTGCTCTGGCTCCCAGGTAAGGAAGGACAGCACTCCTCCCATCCTGTGTGTTCAGTGCTGCCTGGGTCTTTAGGGAAGGCCTCCTATAACATGCCTAACAGTGTGGACATTTGTGTTTATGTTTCCAATGCCAGGTTTCAGATGTGACATCCAGATGACCCAGTCTCCCTCCTTCCTGTCTGCATCTCCAGGAGACAGAGTCTCCATCACTTGCCATGCCAGTCAGGGCATTACAAATGATTTACAGTGGTATCAGCAGAAACCAGGGAATGCTCCAAAGCTTCTGATCTATAATGCAAAGAATTTAGCCTCTGGAATTCCATCAAGGTTCAGTGGGAGTCAATCTGGGACAGAGTTCACTCTCACCATCAGCAGCCTGCAGCCTGAGGATTTTGCCACTTATTACTGTCAACAGGATTATAGTTTCCCTCCCACAGTGATACAAGTCATAACAAAAACCTCCTATTGAAGCAGAAGTGAGAGGCTGGGCTGCCCAGCTGCTGCTCCTGGTGCCTCCAATTGCTGATAGAGCTTCTCAGATGTAGCAATTCTGTGAACACTTTTGAAGTTTTTCATTGAAATTTGAAGGGTCCTCTGAATCTTTGTCCTTTTTCTCCTCCTCTGTCTACAAAGCACAGACATGGCCATGTCTCTTCTCATAAAAAGTCATCCTTTCTGATTCACACAGTAAAACAGAAGCCAGACAAGAATCTCTAAAAGGGTATTGTTTTAATACAGGAAATTAGTCTAATCTTTAGGTTCTTAACCAGGGTCATCAGAGAAGTTGGAAGGAGGAGTGTGGAATTCTCTGGTTCAGTGAGCACATAATCCTGTGATTCTCCACCCTGTGGAAAAAGCCGGGGTGAGTGGCTGAGGCTCTTACCTGACCCAACTGCCTCTCCAGAGGAATTCTCCAGGCCTCACTTCTGATCAGATGTCAGCCTGCTTATGTCAAGTATTATACATGTCTCTCCAGTTCACTAAATTTCGTCAAAGGATGAACTTATAATATACTCTTCAGGAAACAAGGGAAGGAACAGGAAATTGATCTTCCACACACAATTATAATGATCATAATGATGGATTGACATAACTGTCAACTATGCTCACCTTTCCCCATCTGTCAAAAGTAGTCCACATAACTGATAGCTTTATAACTTACTTAAATTTGATTGTAGGTTGTTTATACCAATCTGGGAATATGAACTTTAAAAAAAATAACAAACTTCATTAATTCTTTGGCAGAAAAATATCAGAAGCTGGAAATTATATGAAACATCACAAGTTGTTCATGATCTTACACAGCAACAAACAACTGAAATAATTTCTTGACTAGCAAATCAGATGCAAAACAATATTTCAACACAAAAAAGGAAAATACATTAATTGGGTTAAGATTTCTTTTCCTTCTATGAGCTAGTGACTCAAATCTGCAATCCTAGCTACTTAGGTGGTTGAGATCTGAGGATTGTGGTTCAAAGTCAGCAAGAGCAGGAAAGTCTTTGAGACTCTTATCTCCAAAAAATCAAAGGAAATCCAGAAGTGGCTCTGTGGCTCAAGTGGTAGAGTGTTTGCCTTGAGATAAAGAGGTGAGGGACAGTGCCCAGGCTCAGAGTCCAAGCCCCACAAAAAATGAAATGAAAGAAAAGGAAAGGAAAGGAAAGGAAAGGAAAGGAAAGGAAAGGAAAGGAAAGGAAAGGAAAGGAAAGGAAAGGAAAGGAAAGGAAAGGAAAGGAAAGGAAAGGAAAGGAAAGGAAAGGAAAGGAAAGGAAAGGAAGGTGGAAAGGAAAGGGAAGAAAGTAAGAAAAATTTCAATGCATAAGAACTTCATAAAGAGGGGCTGGGAAGGTGGCTCAGTGGTAGAGCGCTTGCCTTGCATGCCTGAGGCCCTGAGTTCGATTCCTCAGCACCACATAAGCAAAAAGAAAAAAAGCCGGAAGTGGAGCTGTGGCTCAAGGTAGAGCACTAGCCTTGAGCTGAAGAGCTGAGGGACAGTGCCCAGGCCCAGAGTTCAGGTCCCACGACCAGACCCACCTCCCCCCCCCCCCAAAAAAAAAACTTCATGAAGAAAACAGGGATTTTTTTCCAGGAAGAATTCTTGAGATTGATAAAGATCTAAGTACATACAAGAATGTTTCAAATACATTTATCAAATACTCTATTACATCTGTTGCTTCTGTGCATTATACATTTTGAAAATAGTCATAAAATTTTCTTCTACCATCAACTTATCTGCACATACTCTGCAGGCAAATTCATGTTCCTCTTTTCTAGCCTAGGAAACCTGTGGATGCAAGGCCTGTGGTGATTCACTGAGTTGAGCCAATCCTGCAGAGGTGCCCAGCTCTGCCCAGCCCCTGCTGATTTGCATGTGCCCAGAGCACAGCCCACTGCCCTGAGCACTTCATAGTCTGCTCACACCCTGTGCTGGAGTCAGTCCCAGTCAGCACACAGCATGGACATGAAGGTCCCTGCTCAGCTTCTGGGACTCCTGCTGCTCTTGCTCCCAGGTAAGGAAGAACAATGCTTGGGATTTATTCAGCCTAGTACAGCAGGGGCTCTCTGGTACTTCAAGGAAGGCCTCTTGTAACATGATTATCAAGGAGGGTATTTGTTTTCTATTTCCACTGCCAGGTGCCAGATGTGACATCCAAATGACCAGTCTCTATCTTCTCTGTCTACATCTCTGGGAGATAGAGTTTCCATGGCTTGCATAGCCAGTGAGGGCCTTAGCATTTCTTTAGACTGGTTTCACCAGAAATCAGGGAAAGCTCCTAAGCTTCTCATGTATGGTACAAAGTAATTCCCATCTTGGTTCCTTCTAGATTTAAGGACAATGGATCTGGGGCAGAGTTTACTCTCACCATAAGCAGACTGCAGTCTGAAGATTTCCCCACTTATTACTGTCAACAGCATAGTAGCTACCCACTCACAGTGATATAAGCCATAACATGAAGCTCCTAAGGAAGTAGAGGTGAGAGGCTAGGCTGTCCCAACTGCCCTTCCTGGTACCTCCACCTGATAACACAGCTTCTCAGATACATCCAGAATCTGAATGTCACTTAAAGATTTTAGAAGAACCATCTCGGCAGAATTCCCTGTACTCTATCTCTCTGTCTGCAGCAGTATACACTTGGCAATGCCTCTCCTGATTCAATAGAGCACACAAATCATAACAAGGGAGGAAACTTTGAGAGACTTATTTGGGCATCTTTTGTAAAATTGAGACATATTAGTTAATTCAAGCAAGTAGTGTTTCTTTTTGAATAGAAGAAATTATTAGCCTATAACCATTCCAAGACAGGTTTATGTTATTAAGTGAAGCTAAACACAGAACTGGAGTATTCTCTGGTGTCCCTCAGACCCACATCATCTACTTGTGAAGCTGCAGTCCTTCTTACCTTGGTCCTTTCCACGTGTAGAAATGTAGGGGTGAGTACCAATGCTCTCAACTGCTTGTAGATCGATCTTGACAGGTGATCCTCCATTCCTTCCCTCTGCCCTAGCATCTGCCTACAGGTTTCAGTACATTCTACTGTATTCTCTTCATTAGGACTCATCATGCAGAAACTCTACAGGAAATACTGGTGGCTTCCACAAGTAAATCATTAGAAGTATCTGCACAGCACAGCAAAACAATAATTACACCAATCTATTCCCCACTCCCTTCTTTTTTTTAGAAATGAACCGGTTGTACATTGGTGGTTCCAGTTCCTTACTCCTTTTCTTTTTGGTTTGTTTTCATTTTGGTTCTGGTCCTTGGGCTTGAACTCAAAGAAAGTCCTTGCTTCTTCCTTGAGCTTTTTGTGTTCAAAGCTAGCATTCTACCACTTGTGATTTTTTATGTGCTTAATTGGATATAATTGTTCCATAGACTTTCCTATGCAGGTTGGCTTCCAACATCAGTCCTCAGATGTTAGGCTCATTACTAGCTAGTATAACAGGAATGAGCCACTACTACTTGGCTCCTGACATTTTTATTGTTATTATTAAGAAGCTTCACAGAGGGCTTACAATTCCATGAGACAGAAGATATGTATTTCCGGTTTGAGCTGTCAACTTGATTATTTTACTGTTTGCACCTACTGCATGTGCACTGACTTAACCACGATGCTCTAAGACAAAAAAGGAAAATAAAGTTGGAAAACATAAAGGCAGATTTCTGAGCTTAATACTTTCTGGGCTATCCTGAGTGTCTGAAATTGCCATGGAAATTCTACATATACATTTTGTACTTTAAATATTCTTTTAGGGAATTTTAATTTTGCATTGGTTAGATTCTATGTTTCAACCTAGAGAAAATTTAAAATGATGGTTTACTCCAATTTATGACAATGGAAATACATTTGTGTAGCTGTGTCTTCTTTACTCTAAAAGAGATATTTTTCTATTCTCTGTGTTTGCATAGACTCTACTAAGTTATTATTATATACTATGATTTACTTTAATAATTTTTAATATATTTGTACAAATTTCATTAGCAAATCAAGATACCTGGCTGCTTCATTTCAGATTTAATGTCTTCTTTTACCTCTTGCTTTATAGAATTTGGAGGAGAACATCCTGTATAATTTTGTATATGATGATATGATAGTAAATGTTTCATCATTTAAAACAATATGATGCGGAAAATGTTAAAATACTTTTTTAACATCGATTTTTTTTACATGTTTCAAATCACTTTGGTATTTTTTCATTATTTTTGTCTTCCTTAGCCACCATAGCTTTTGAAGTATCTTGAATAGATGTTGACTTTTAGAAGTATTTAACTAATATATTATCTTGTTTCTAAACATGTTAGGATTGTGAATTTTACAGGTAAACCTACTATATCAAAGGCAATAGAATTGGAGTTGATGCTCAACTAGCTGAGGGACAACACCCAGTCCCTGAGTTCAAGACCCAATTCCAAACACAGCAGTAAAAAATACAATCATGGAGTTGTGTGCAGGTCGCTCAGGTATATAATTCAAGCTAGTCAGGAGTCTGAGATTAGAGGTTTACTGTTCAAAGGAAGTCTAGGGAGGAAAGTCCAGGATACTCTTATCTCCAATCAACCAGAAAACAGGAAGTGTTAGAGTGCTTGCCTTGAGCTGAAGACCTGAAGAGCATAGGGACAGTGTCCAGGACAAGTGTTCAAGCACCACAACTAACAAAAATAATACAATCATGAAATTTCATTTTATTACATATATATTTTTTTGGTCCAGTCGTGGGGTCTGTACTCTGGGCCTGGGTGCTGTCCCTCAGCTCTTCATCTCAAGGCTAGAGCTCTACCACTTGAGCCACAGTGCCACTTCCAGCTTTTTTTCTTTTTGCTTATGTGGTACTGAGGAATTGAACACAGGGCTTCATGCATGCATGGCAAGCACTCTACTACTGAGCCACCTTCCCAGCCCCCAATCATGTAATTTGAAAAGAATTTTCCAATGTAACTTTCTCAAAATATTGTCATTGAGAGGAGGAGGGAGAAAGTAGGAAGGAGGATTAGGAATAAGAGGTAGAGGAGAGCAGGATGAAATTCTCCCTTTCTTAAGACAAATTTTGACAATGTGCATAGGAGACCACAGGCTGAAAAATTTGAGTATATATGATCAAAGTCAGAAGAAGTTCTTGTAAGTTGAAGCTTGGAAGACATGTGAAACATTGAAAAAACAGGACTGTAACCAACCATTGAGATATGTGAAGTGGCATGAAACTCACACAAATATACTGTGAAGCTGGTCAAATTGGTAGTACTGGGGTTTGAACCTCAAGGTCTTTGATCCATTTGGAATGGATTCTGGTTCAAGGTGATATATAAGGACTTAAATTCGGTTTTCATGTTTCTACACATGTATAGTCAATTCTGACAGCACCATTTGTTGAAGAGACTGTCATTCTTCCATCCTTTGTTTTTTGGCTACCTTACCAAAGATTAGGTGGCCATGGGTCTGTGAGTTCCTTCAATTCCATTCCATTGTTCTACAAGCCTGTTCATGTGCCAGTACCAAGCTGTTTTTGTATGTACAGCTTTATAATAGTGTTTAAAGTTTGGTATTGATATTCCTCCAACAGTGTTCTTCCTGCTAAGAATTGCTTAAGCTCTTTAGGTTTTCTATTATTCCACATGAATTTTTGGATTGCTGCTTCTTGTTAATTGAAAAATGTTGTTGAGATTTTGATGGGATTGCATTGAATTTTAGATAGATCTTAGCAGTATTGCCATTTTCACAATGTTAATCCTCTCAGTCTTCTATTATGAAGAGGAGTGGAGAGAGCAGCAGACCTCCTTGTCAAAACCTTTTGAGGAAATAGTTTTAATTTTCACCATTTAGTATAATGCTGGCTGTAGGTTTGTTATATATAGACTTTATTATATTGAGGAATGTTCCATGAGTTCCTACTTTCTCCAAAGCTTTCTCCATAAAGGCACATCCACAAGTTTTATAGTTCATTTTCAACATAGTGTCCATGAGTACAATTGTTGCCTTGTTCACCTTTTGTGCCTACATTTCTGTTACTTTCCTTACCCTCCCAAGATATATGAACTAACAAACAATCTAGACAAGAAAACAAAACCAATAATAAAGAAAATATGTCGTATTTCCGTTGTTTTGAGCTACTTTTGATAAATGTTATTTTCTATGGTCAGAAATAAGGATACAGGATGACTCATTGTTACATGAGATGTACAAGACACTTTGTTGAAAATGAACTTTGAAACAGAGCTGGGGGTGGGTGGGAGGAGTTGGGGAGGTGGAGAGGAAAGGGATGGTAGCGGAAAAACAAAGAAGGGGATAACAATGCTGAATAGGAAATGAGTTTAGTACCTTGCTCATGTAACTGTAATCCCTCTGTACAATATCTTTACAATAAAAATATATGTTTATAGTAAAAAATACATACACAGGCATTGTGTCTTTCTGTTCCTCTTTTAAGAATATCCTTCTTTAGTCTCACTTTGTGTACATGCCTAGAGACCTATATTTTAGATATAGAATCCTCACATGAAAGAATGCACTACTTCTCTCTCTGAGCTTGGCATACCACACAACATGATTTGTCCTAGGTCCATCCATTTCCAGGCAAATGACATAATTTTATTTTTTCTAATGTTTATGTACAATTCCTTTCTGAATGAGCAACACATTTTTAAACTGTTCATCTATTGTAGTGCATCTCGGCTCTTTCCACTACTTGGCTATTTTGAACAGTGTGGCAATGAACATGGATGTACAAGTATCTATATGCTGGCTTGTGAGGGTCAGGGTAGATGCGGACAAGTGGTATGGCTGGTTTTCAAAGGACATCTATGTTTCATTTTGTGAGGAACCTCCAGAATGTTCCAGAGTCATTGTGTCAGTTTACATTCCCGCCAACAGTACGATAAGATTCCTTTTCCTCCACATCCCTGACATCATTTGTTATTTGAATTCACAGTGCTGGCCAATCTTACTGGAGTGAGATGGAATGTATGAGTTGGTTTTATTTTTCATTTCTTCTATGGCCAGGGATGATGAACATTTCCTTATGTGTTCCTTTGCCATTCTTACCTCATCTGCTAAGTCATCTATAATTAGCTCTTTTCCCATTAACTACTTGATTTATTAGTTTTGGGTGGGGGTAGTTTCTTAAGTTCATTGTATAGTTTGGATATTAGGCTTTGTCTGATATATTGTTGGTAAATATCTCCTCATAGCCTGTTGGGTATCTTTCTAGTTTAGTCACAATGTCCTTTGCTGTGCAGAAACGTTTAAGTCTGATGCAATCCCATTTTCAAGTTTCTCTCCTAAAACTTTCTGCCTTTGTCAATGAGTTCTAGTGTTTCTCCTACCCCCTCTTGTAGTAATTTCAAAGTTTCATGTCTAGTGTTGGGGTCTTTGATCCTCTATGAGTTGATATTTGTGCATGGTGACAAACTGGGGTCGATTTTTAGTTTCCTGCATATGGATGCTCAGTTTTCTCAAAAACCATTATTGAAGAAGCTATCATTTTCCCAGGGTATACTTTGACTCCAAATTAAACCATATCAAATACATGGTTTTATTTCTAGGTCTTGTAGTCTGTTCTATTCAGCTTTGGGATTATATTTGTGCCAGTACCAACATTTTTCGTATGGCTCATCGTAGAGCTTGAGTCTTGGGATTGAGATTATATCAGTGTTCCTTTTTTGCCTAGAATTGTTTGGCTATTTATTCTATCTCGAAATCCTAATTCTTAATCCCTTAGGTGACTGAGATCTGAGGATCATGGCTCAAAGCCAGCCCAGGCAAGAAAGTCCATGAGATTTTCATCTCCAGTTAATCAACAAAAATGCTAGTTGTGGAGCTGTGGCTCAAATGGTTGTACACTAATTTGAACACAGAAACTCAGGAACCGTGCCCAATTCTTCAGTTCAAGTACCATTACTAGAATGCACAAACACACACACGCACACACACACACACACACACACACACACACACACAATCACCCAAAGTATGGAAATTATTAATTCTACTAATTTTATTTCATCTTTGTTAGGCAAAATTATGAAACTGTTAAAAATGTTTTGAAATATATTAAAACTGTTTTTCTGAGGTCAAGACAAGGTGTAAAAAAATGAGTGATAGGAAATGTACTTGCAAGAGGGTTTGAGATCAGGTGGAAGGAGGTAGAAGAATATATAGAGAAAATGAGTAGAATGCAGGTAAGAATGCACTATGTATGCCACAGAACTGAAAAAAATAAGGGAAGTGTAGGTCGAAGGGGGACTGACATATCTCAAGATGCATTGTATGCATGAATCGCTTTGATGTAACAGGAAAAATATCAGAACATAACTTAAAAATAACAAACATGGGTTAGGAAGGTGGCTCAGTGGTAAAGTGCTTGCCTTGCATGCATGAGGCCCTGGGTTCTATTTTTCTCAGCACCACAGAAGCAGAAAAAGCCAGGAGTGGCACTATGGCTCAAGTGGGAGAGTGTTCCCCTTGAGCTGAAGAGCAGAGGGACAATGCCCGGACCCAGAGTTCAGGTTCCCATGAAAGGCCAAAAAAAAATTGTTAAAAAGCACGAAGGAAAATGTGGTGTGAGTGCAGTGAGAATTTTAAAAAGGATGACATTGAAGAGGTATTGTATGCATAAACTGTTTTGTGGAATGGCAACTCCTTTGTACAACGACCAAAAGAAAATAAAAACCTATTTTTAAAAACTGCTCCTTTGGGTATAGAAAAGCTGAGAAATTGAGAGAGATTCCTAAATTTCTAAAATCCTAATCCTAAATTCCTCAATATCATGTCACTTTGGCCAAAGTAAATAGCCCTGTAAGCAGAGCTTTTGAATTTTGTAAATAATCACAGGAGTAAAGTACAGACTTCATTTCCCATTTTGATCTTGCTGAGAGTAATCTAGATGATGTCAATCACTTCTGTTCAGTTATAACTACTGAAGAATTTCTCTAATGAGGAATGTATAATTTTTTTGTATTTGCTTACCTTACTGCTCATTAGATCATTTTCACCTGTTTAATATAATCCCTACACAGTTATCCATTGCCTGGAACATAAAATGACTTTTCAATCCCCCAAATTCACCTGTAGTGTTCACTAATAGGAACTATTAATAGATAGACAAATGTCTATCTCTCCATTAGAAAACCAAAAAAATGCAAGATGAGGTTGTCTACCTTGAAACTAAGGACAAACTCCAAAGAAGACATCCTAGGAAAAAAATTGAGACAACAAGTAGTCAATGTCAAAAAATTTATTTATGAGAATAATTAGTTAACCCATTAAGGAAAATATGAGGTAAAGAATTGATACTAATGTTTTAATAAGGAATAGCTTATTCATATGGTATGATATGGCTTCTCCTCCAAGTCTTTATTATAAAGGTGGAGAGTGCCAGCTCAGCTGAGAATTCTGACACCATCTTCATACTAGTTCAAAGTACAACTCATCATAGTGCACAGGAAAAGAGACTGCTGGGAGATATTGAGATGCTTTCAAATCATTCAAGGTGAACTTCCAATATGTATTTACACTTCAGAAGAGTCTGGGTTGGAAGAATGTATTGTGCACTATGTCATTCTTCTATCTAGTGACATGAACATATTTCATGCTCTGACATCATATGTATGAAATATTAATAAAGTTCTGAAATTATATGTTCACAATTACATAATCTGTTAGTAATTTCCTGGCTAGTTAGAATGATATCATATAAAACTTTTTTGTATGTATAAACTTAACAGGAGGATACAGATCATTACAGTTTTGATTCTGAACTTTCACTACTCTTATAATCAATTCTATTAAGATATGGTATTTTGTCTTTTATCAGTTTAAATCCTCTTGCTCTTTGTTAACACATTTTTGCGCTCACCCTTGCTGAAGCTTTACACAGGATCCACAGGACCATGGATGGATGCTCAGAGCTCTGGTTAGAGGATTCCCAAAAAAAGTTTCTGGAGTGATTCAGATGAGTGAGGACATCAAGAAAGTGCCATCACACACTCCTCTACATCCTGCTTCTGTGAGTTGAGACTGGAGGTTTAGATAAGAGATATCCTTAAGAACTAAAACTTGATTTGAGGCATATAGAATAAAACAAATCATCTATATCATTCTGAACATTGATAAATTGGAAAAACACTTACCCATACACATTTTAATGCGACCAATCATGCAATGTGCAGCCATTCTCTATTCCTGATGGAAAGTGTCTTTGAGGAATTGATGATTATTCTATCTCTAATCTATTTGACTGTAGGTATAGGAAAGATGATCACCAGGAACATCAAGTCAAGCCAGTCTTTGAAAAAGCTCCAACCATTCATCTACTGAGGGGCATCTGGGTTGGTTCCATATCTTAGCTATGGTAAATAATGCTGCAATAAACATCATTGTGCTGGTAGCTGTAGTATGGCTTTTTTTTGTGTGATCCTTTGGGTTAATGCCCAAAATTGGGATTGCTGGGTCAAAGGGGAGTTCTATGTGAAGTCTTTTGAGGAACCTCCATACTGCTTTCCAAAGTGGTTGAACAAATTTACACTTCCACCAACAATACAGTAGGGTTCCCTTTTAGGCACATCCCCTCCAGCATCTGTTGTTATTCGATTCCTTGATCATAGCCATTCTAACTGGGGTGAGGTGGTATGCCCTTCAGTAGATGAATGGATCAAGAAAATGTGATACACACACACACACACACACACACACACACACACACACACACACACACACACACACACCACACACACTGGAATTATTTGCCTCCATCAGAAAGAATGACACTGTCCTATTTGTTAGGAAATGGAAAGACTTGGAAAAAATTATATTAAGTGAGGTAAGCCAACCCCCCCAAAAACATAGGTTCCATGGTTTCCCTTATTTGCAATAACTATTATATGTCTAGAACAAGAAGAAAAGGTCAAAAGCTATCTATATATGACCATATAAGCTAAGCAAAGTAAACCCCAAGATAGGGACACAAGAGCTTTTATCTTTGTTGCTGTTGTTTTTAATGTACTTATACTGTACTGTGTGATTTTTTTTATTTCTTTTGTATGTTCTTCTCCCATGGCATAAACCCTGTTTTCACTGTTAAAAAAAAAAAAAAGAAAAAGAAAAAGCTACAAATAGAAGAATGGCTTAGTCTAGGACCAGAAGAAAATAGATCCTCCTACACTGCTCATCTGGGGCCATTTTCTTGGATGTCTGGGTCCCTAGTGGGTTCCAAATAGAGTATTTGGGACAGATTTCAAACTGACCATCACTAGCCTCCCTATGATTCACATAACCAATTATTACTCTCCACACTTTCGTAAACTTCCCTCTCAGCACTTCAGCCTCTGCCACAAACTTCACAGAAAATAAGTCAGAGATTTTGCTGCCACAGCTGTATCCTCTCTGCTCAGCCCTGCTTTCTCCCATGGTCATTGTTTGCATCAGTGGCTGTGATCCTGCATAATCATGGAAGAGTATGTAGTGCCAAGGGAAGATGCAGTAATCTATCTAGAGAATATTTGAAAATAAGCTTCACCATGAACATTATTATGGGACATGATCCCTTTTCAGTCTATTTAGAATGTTTCTCATCTTTGGAACTGTTACTTAACAGGGGAAACTGAGGCTTCAAATCCTTGTGAACATAGGGTTAATGCGTTCATGCTCTTACAAACTGTCTCTTCCCTGTGCCCAATAAAACAGAAATTCTCACATTCTTATTTTTGTTTTAATTGCATTTTCTTCTGATATTCCATCATGACTGTAATATAGGGTAAAGACAAGCTGTCGTGCAGTTACCCCATCTTTGGTTATTACACCAATGGCAATAGGCAAGAAGAAAGCTGGGCAAAATGCCCCAGTGTTATGACTCATTTAGAGACTCAAATGAAGCTGACCTTAGTAGCTTATTTCAAAATTATTTGGTTTGACCCGTATATGTCTCCTATGTCACTTTATATCTTTGCAACCTTTAACATGTGGTCCAAAATCGCCTTTCCATTTGTAGAAAATGTAATAAGCTAACTAATAATTCTGTTTAATGTACATTTTTCTGACACTAATTTCTTCTTCATTATCTATACAACTAAATTTTAATTTAAAAAATTTAACTGTAATTTTAAATAATTTGGATGTCCACACATCTTATACATAGGTAATCTTCAACTTACGATGGTTTGCATTCCAATGAATCAATAATTGTTGTTCTTTTTTCTTTCCACTATCTACAAAGCAGTATGTGCTCAGTAGCAAACTAGATTAATATTTTCAATGCTTATGTTTCAATGGGTGATTGATACATAGTACTAATACTCTTCCTTGATACCTATCAGTGGTACCAAGCCACAATTTCCATATATATATGTATATATATATATACTTGTAAATATATATACATATATATCTAGCCTAATCACAAAAGAAAACAACCACTACATCACAGTATATCATAAATATCCAATGATTATAAAAAATAGGCTTTTGTTAGATGTTTTACCCAACACCAGAATAATGGAAGTGTTCAGAGGCATTTAAGATCGCTTGCCTACCTAAAATGTTTCTGCAGGAAATATTGTATTAGATGCATTGTTTTTGTTGGTTGTGGGGCTTCAACTCGGCCTGGGTGCTCTCCCTCAGCTGTTCAGCTCAAGGCTAGCTCTCTACCACTTGAGTCACGGTGCCACTTTGGCTGTCTGAGTGGTTTATTGGAGATAAGAGTCTCACCGACTTTCCTGCCTGGGATGGCTTTGAACTGTGATCCTCAGATCTTAGCCTCCTGAATAGCTAACATTACAAGCCATGCAGGCCATTGTAATACAAGCCACTGGCACCTAGCTTGAATTATATGCATTTTTGACAAATAATATATCCAACCTACAATAGATTTGTCTGGATGTAATGACAGTGATTAACATAATTTTCACTCTATGCTTGAATTTTTTTAAAACCTTATAATTGACATACTATAACATCTTAATAGACTCTAACTATCTTTCTGCATATGTATATTGTATGTGTATGAAAATAGATGAATAATTCCTCCTTAAGTTGATGACCACCCACAGTGGCCAGCATTCGCAGTGTAGGCTATTCTTTTTTAAATTTATGGCAATTTATTTTTGTAAGAGTTAATCTATTCCTGATCTCTCAGAATCATTAGAAATGTTGTTCAGGTCAATTCTTTAATACATTGGTAACTGATTTCCTCCACACATTGTTATATTGTGTCTTTCCATTATGTTTGTCTCCATTTTCCCCAAGTGTTATAAGTATTACTCATCTTTTTAAAAATATTTATTTTACTGTGATTATAAAGGTAAATTACAGAGAGATTATAATTATATGAATCAGATGAGTACAGTGATAATGGATAATGAGGTAATTTTGAACTATCTCTTATGTTCCCTCACTCTCTCCCAGTCCCGCTCTCATGTTTCCACCTATGAAATATATAAAGTTGTGTAATTCACTTCAATGCATGTCCAGTGAGCTCCCCTGCTGCCCCTATTCACAATTTTTACCTTGAATTCTGTATTCAATTATACAATTCTGTATTCCCTCAACCCTCCTGAGTATGTACACTTGAATTCACCATATATAAAGAAAACAGAATCATCAAAAATTGAAAGAAGAAAGACAGACCTTTTGTTCTGTATCATTGACTTCATATATATATAATTTTATATACATATGAAGAGGCATGTATACATTCTGCCTAATTCTTTCCCTCCTAAGAGTATTCTCTTTTGGTCTGATTTTGAGTACATATTTAGAATCCTGTATGATTTATCATCATAATGTTTTCTTTTCCCAAACCATCTATACCTAGATTTCTCTTGGGCTCTTACACCAAAACCAAGCTGTCCTCCTTTTGAACATTCCTTCCAGCAGGTGGCAGGATTTACACGCCATTATCCAATGAAGATCATTAGGGGTGGGACTGGCAACATTGTAACAATAGGCTCTTGATATATTTAACCGGTGATTTCTCCAGGCCCTTCACCTGCAGACCTCTGGAACACCAGAGTTAGCTTGTGGAAGTTCAAGATAGTAGAAATTTATTCTTTTCACAGGTAGAAAAAGCTCACACAGGCCTCTGGCCCAAAGCAATTTTTCTGGTTAGCAGGATAAGCTATCAGTCTGCCTCCCTCTCCTCAATACCTGTTACAGACAACTTCTCTGAGCTGATCTAGCTTTGAGATTGCTAATATTCACAGACAGAAAGGAGAGTGTGGGTATCATCCTATTTATTTGCAAGGATGAGAACATAATCAAGACCCAGAGAAGATATCATAACATTGGCAGATCAATGAGAAAGAAACAGCATAAATATAAAGCCATTGTCTCAATGTCCTTTCTCTTACTCACTGATTTGGTTCTGACCACTTTCACGTGAGACTACATACTTCTTAATTATTAGTGTTCCATGTGAGGAAGCAGAATTTAGATAAATTAGTATCCTTGCTTTTTTGAATTATTGTATGTCATCGTAAGATTATTAAACATAGCATGTATTTTGTCTTCTAAACACTTTCACAACAATTTCCCTGTGTTACAGTGAAAGATTAGAGTTATGGCTTTAAAGAAGTGCTTCAGTGAACCTCATCAGTTACACCCTTTAGTACCTAGTAATAGGCATGGGTATCAGAAGAAATCAATGTTCTCCCAACCAACAGCTGGAAGATGGAACATATCAACTTCAGAGGAATACTACATTTTTTAAAAGGCTAGTGTCACTGTGATCCAGGTACTGTAAGGAAGACAGCAATTGGCATGAAAGAGCCTTACTGCCTAGCTAGCCTGCTTTCCTGATTTTGTCTCTTGCCTGTTAAAACCGGGACAAGTTACAGACAGCATCTCTCCACACCATTGCTGAATGGGAGGTTAGCGTTTTACTTTCATCCTCAATAATAAGGCCATGGATGGGACCATCAACTAAAATTCCAAAGGTAAATGACTGAGTGTTGACCTCAGTTGCAATTGTTGTACTGGGACAACATAATTGGGTGTAGTGGGAATAACTCAGATGGTGACTAATGTTAAAAGTGTTTGAAGGAAAGAATAGAAAATTAAAGGGAAGAATATTGGGGAAAAACTCTTTTAATCAAAGTGTATTGCTTAAAATCCCCTGCTTTAGCTTGGTGGTTTGGCCCTTGTTAAGGAAAAGAGGAACTACATTGGGAAAAGAGAGGATTTGTAAGTTGTAAGGTATTATCTTAAACTGATTTCTTTCCAAGATGGGTATATTTTCATGTTACTTGTATACTGTCCTTAGTTCAAAATTGCCTGATGTAAATAAATTCTGCACAATTAAAACTAGCCATTTCTAGTATATTGTGAACTTGAGTTCAACCAATATGGGGAGAAGGGCAGCGCCTACTACATTAGAATTAAATAC